AATCACTTCACTACATGAACTGTGACTGTGCTTCAGCTGATTAAGTTCGAGACAAACCCTCGAAAGATATCGGATCAGAGTAGCGTCTTATACCCATTAAAAAGAGAGGCTGTGATCCGATGTCTTTCAAGGATGTGTGGAAGATGATTCTTAAATTTGAAGAGATCAGTTCATTTGATGGTGTCTGACAGAGGGAGGAAAGCAGTTGCTTCGAAGACAGTGGAAAATGTGGCTACGGCGCAGCAAGAAGAGACCTGAAGTGGTGTGAGAATGTGCAGCGCAAGGGTGACTGCCCGATCTTTAGACATGCTTATCAGCAAGATCCGTAAAATTTTACAAACCATCCTGCAACTACAGCCATTCAAAGTTAGGCTTTTTCAGAAGTTGCTTCTTGTTGATCTGCTGATACGACACTGACTGCTGATTGATTGCAATTTCTTTCGCGGGTGTAAGTGGACAATGCGTGGCCATGGAACATTTTGTGGATAGAATGAAGTCCATTTCCATCTCCAAGTCAATACTCAAAATTGAAGACACTAGATCGGAGAAAAATCTTATATCCATTAATGTCAGGTACTTCTTCAGGGCTGCTGAAGCATAGTCACAGTTCCTGTAAGAAAGCTTCACAAGCAGAGCTCGATCTTTCATTGACAAAGTCATGACGAGCTTCTCAAAAGAAGAATTACCGGAGCAACATGTACTCTGTATTTTTAGTAAGTCTAATATGTAGTGCGCATGTTTCGTCTTTTAATTAACATATTATAATAAGTACAGCGCCATCTAATTGATAAAATTTTGAACATTTATTTCTTTCGTCAGACGAATTCCCATTTCTTCATGTATATTCAGGTCAAATTTCAAGTCATTCTGACTAGTGGGTCTTTTTTTTACAGTCTTTCGAAAATGGAATTTTAATTATAATCACCCTGCATATTAAGTTTCAATGTCTATGATTTTTAGCGGTAGAAATTAGAAATAATGAAATACAGTTTCTGTTTCAAAGAAGGAGCAAATCTCTGATGAGCTCGGATAGAGGATAATACATTAAAAAATGAACAAATGCTAATTAAAAAAATATTTGAATTTCGCTCTTTGGTTTAGGAACATAACGATTAAACAGAAAAGGGAAAAATTCAGCTTCTTAAGTCTTTCCAGTTTTACAAAATAAAACAAAGCCATGGATTCTTAGGAATTTGCATTTATCTTTTGAGACAAGTTTAATAGGTTGTCTTAATCTCTTTTAGCTCTCCATACTTCTCTGAATATGTCTGTGATAAGTCATTCCTCACATAAATTTTATAGTCCCTATCTTCTCAAGCTTAAGGTGATAAGTTTTTTTTATTTGTGGTAACGTATGCTTTGTTACTTCAGCTTTCTAGATTTTATATTTTGATTAACATTTTGCACGTGATAAAACAAAGTAATTTAAGGCAACACTCTACTAACTTATGAAATTTCAAGCACTCTGTTCTTTGAATATTTTATAAACTAGAAAATTCAAGGATCTAATTAAGTTATTCTGTTAAATAATATACATGCATTATAAGCGCCTAGAAGCCATAATTATTGAGGTTATTCATTTAACATGTAATTTGTTATTGGTTTCGATGCTATACTCGTACTTTACCTGAATGAAGAAATTTTTTAGTTTATCGCCATTCATTAGAGAAAATAATCTGAGAAACATTTAGCAACATGTGCACAGTTACTAACTGATGCATTGAGTGTTGCATTTAATGAAAATCTAATATCCAGGATCTACATACAATCTTAATATCAAATTGATATTAAGATTGTAACTTTCCAAAAGGCATTCATTAGCCTCTAAAGCTTAAATCACAACTAACTATTTTATACTTGCTCAAATATGTAATAAACTCATTAAGCACTTATCATCTGGAAATTAAACTTTTCCAATTTAAAACCAGAAAATAGAAGTAGACCATATAGCAAATTGTAAAGATGACGATTTTAATTCATCACCATTTTGCCACGTTTAAAGGATTAACACTGTGACCTAGTTATAGTGATGGTTTAAAGCTTTCTAATGTATTACTACTATAACATTATAAGCTTACTTTCAAGAAAGCATGTGGGAAGTTTCAAACTGTCGTCTTCATACTTTCGGATAACCTTTGTTTAAAAATATTATTTCACAAGAACAATAAATGCTAAAGTTGTAAGGAATTTTCCTCTTCCTTACTGCATGCTTTCGGGGTTTAATTGGAAAGCAAATTTGCTCCTAAGTTCGTGTCCCGGAGAGGGCATTACCCACTTTTCACGTCTCCTGCATCGATAAACTTAATGACTCGAACTAAGGTGGTTTACGAAAATTCGTCACCACTAGAACTTGGAGATTGCGTTTCCTCCTTCCCATTCGCCTTTTAAGAGGAAGAGTATATAAGGTATTTTCTCTCTCCTTAACCTTGACTTCGTGGAGCAATTGAATAGCACGTCCGGCTGGCTAACATCTGAAAGTCCGGTCTTCGTGTTCCGGGGAGGGCATAGCACATTTTTCACGTCTCATGCGTCAATAAACCTAATTACTCTACATAGTGTAGCTCTGAACTTTAAAATATCTAGTGACTGGCAAATTAGCCTGTTTTAAAATACTGATATGTTCATCGATTTTCTAGTTTAGAATATGCGTAGATTCGGAACCATATTCACTAATTTCTGAAATACACGAGAAAACTTTCTACTCAGGTGATCAAGGATTAGTTACAAAACTAAAACTATGCATTTCTAGTGTTTAAAAAATATACCTTCCAATCCCTTGCTACCATGTGCAAGAAAACTATAAATTTAAATACTTAATGAGAAGCTTTATTATGAATGAATAAACCATAACCTGTCTTCAATAAGTTGAAAATCTGCCATTATAAAGATGTTGAATTCTTCGTTACTTAAACTGCGAATTTTAATATCTGATAGATAAGCAAAGTCGGGATTGACTATGGCAAAGCCAGCGAGGGATTTGTAACTTAGGAGAATGCCTTCACTGACAGCTTTCGAGAAAACCTCAATCACATTTACATACATTATACATCAGAGAATTCATAGCACATGTCAGTTATACAGAAGATCTCGTATAACTGACATGTGCTGCCGAGAATTGTGATATGAGCGATGCGAGGAGTGCTCAGAGTTTTATCCGTTGTTGTCGTTGTTGTCTTGTCCATTACACGGAACAAAGTTTGCCAGAGCCTACTCCGAAGAGAGGTTAGACTTCTACTTTCCACCCCCAATTTTGAGACAGAGCACCCCGGGGGGGATCCGGGGGTCTGCCACCTCTCTCCCTTTCCGCCAATCCACACGAGAGGACTTTCGGCTCTCCGCATATTTAGAGTGTCGCCATGCCGCACCGACTCTATACATTTACAAAACATCCCTGTCTTCTCTGGGATTCGAACTCGGGCCCTTCGATGCCATAGCAGGCTCCTCTAACTATACCGGCTGGGCGATTTTTATCCGCTTGGCAACTAGAATTGGCGATATGGAAGACTGAGACGAATAGATAACGTTTATTTAAAGTATTTTAATTATACAACACATGGGCTAAATGTGAATTAAAAGCGAAGACAGCTTTGTAATATCACCCTTTTAAATAGTATATTGTATAAACATGTTATTCTAGGAAGAAAAAGATTACCAACCTGAGATTTAGTTTTTCAGTACCTTCCTATATTAAAATTTAAGCTTTTATTAAATTTTTAGAAGAGATTCAAAGTTCATTAGTGCAAGATGTTGCTAATTCTGCACTGGTGACAAGAAAGTTTAGTAATAAAGTACGCTGGAGTTCAAAATTGAGAGATTTTTTTACATTTGATCCATTATTTATAGAACTGATGGATACACTTTAATGAAATTCGGTTGATATAATTGATATAATGCATAGGTTAATATAACAATAATTATGTAACGCACGCAAGAGCGTGCGCAAAACTAATCGGAGCAGGAAGGTCTAAAAACACAGTTTGCAAAATCGAACAAAAAAAGATGCTAATAAAAAATATAATTCTTTCTAACAGTCACGTAGCTCTTACAACGTGACTTTATACTGGAAATGAAGAGGTGTATATGACCTTGTGGGGCAGTCGACCCGATTCTTGTAGCAACGCTATTTTCAGGTCCTAGAGGATACTTGGAGTTGAAAGGCGAATTGAAGTTGACCTCCTATGAGCGTCCCAAACATGTTCTATAGCGTTTAGGCCTCGAGATCTGACTGTCCTATTAATCCGGTTAATATCATCACTTCCAGAAAAGAGTCTACCATATTAGCTCAACATGGACGAACGTTGTTGTCCTCTTAAATTAACACACCCTTGAAAAGGGGAATATTATGCTTTAAGATCTTACCTGCTTGCAAAATGGCCTGCTACTGCGTGCCTCTCATTTCTGAGCTCAAGGCAGCCTATTTAATATGGTGCAAAGAACATCAACTTTGCGCCAAGCATATTTGGGGGAGCGTTCGTTTTGCAGATGAGTCCCATTCAGCCTAATCATTTATTCTCTTCGTGTCTTTATTGGAGAGAACTATCCTAGGGATCAGGGGTACTGTACACCCTATTAGCCTATTTTGTTTTCTATCTCGTAAGCTAAATTTTAGACATTCTTTCGTCGATGAGCCTTGCCGCACGACCAGTCACGTGCACTGTGACTTTTGCACGATATGTTATTTTACTTTATATCAACATATATTCATGCCAAATACTTTTCAAAATATATCCTTAGTTCTGGAGGTAATTGAGAAAATGAGAATATTCTCTTAATTTTGATTACCAGTGAATATCTCGGGCATAATTTTGCACAAATACAATATATCGTTAATAATGCTTTATAATTATATTAAGTGTATCTAAATTTCTTCATCACTCATTTATGACAAAATATCTTTTATAAGATTATTTGCAACACGACATTAAAACCTAAAATATTTTAACACATTTGGTTAGCGTGAAATTTCAAACTTTCTATTACATGCAAAATATTTTTTTCAGGGTCATTGGAAACTATAAAATAGACCTTCAGATCTGGGATACGTGCGGAGAGGATCGTTTCAGATGTATGGTAAGTTGAAAATTATTTGTTTCAGGGTATAAAAAAGAGGCCTCTACATAAAAGAAGTAAAATTGAAATCATTGCTTCATTGCATTCTAAAGATCTTAATCTTTTGTAATGAGTTGAAATTAATTTATTTCCTCGAGTATTTTTGCCCCTAGCCTTTTGGTGCCAGGTTTTTGAAAAATTTTTAAATATTCGCGAGGAAATATGCTAATTTTCCCCTTCTTCACTGAGTTCAGAAAACCAGCTCCCCTCAATTTTAAAATAGGTTTGCCCACTAGTGATTTTTTTTGTCTTACCAACAAAAACAAAACCCTCGCAAACTGCCTGCGAAGGTCACACCAAAACTTTCCTTTCTAACTGTGCAATTCTATTCCAGCTTAATACATAAACCAACCAATCCTGCCATAACAAATACGAACTGTCATTCGGTCTACGATTTCATTGTGTCAACTGCAAATTAACCTTCTCTAATTATTTATGGATGATTTGAGGCACAAGAAATAACAGAGAAGGGGCGAGATTCAAATTACAGGGAAGTATAAATAAATGATATCTTATTAAATATGTTACTATCAATATTACTTCGTATTTTTATTGAGATGTAATAATAGTATGGCAGTATTCTGCAGTTTACCGTGACTACTTTTCACTTATTACATTCTTACCGTAAGTGTCCTTCAGAAATTAAAGTATTCGCATAATGTATTCCTCCCGATTTCCTATCGACAAAATAAATAAAGAAAGGAGAAAAATAATATGGTAAATCACATACACTGAAAAATAAAAACTTGCTTTGAAAGTAGATATGCAAGAAATATTACTATGGAAGAATGAACTAAGTTCTTAATTTTGAGTTAATATATACGTTACTGTACAAAAGCATTAATTGCAGGAGATTCATATATCTAAAATTTAGTTATTGGAAACTATACATCAAAACACGTAAATAAACAAATTACATAAATAAATTTGCTTCGGAATACATAAATACACTAATTGCACAGTTATTATGCCTAATAACTGGACTTCTTGTTTCTCTGTTTAACGGTAATTAGTGACGAAATGTCATTTTATAAATAATCTGGTTGTGTCTTCATGTAGAGGACGGGTTCTCAACCGGTGGTACACAAGAGAAAACTAGGTGGTATGCAAAGTATTTTTAAATATGAAATTCAAAAATTAAAACCCCAACAACCTAATGTAGTACTTTGTAGTGATGGTATTAAAGTTTTCAATTTTTCTTTAGATGGTACGCGTTAGTCAAAAGGTTGAGTTGGTGTATTTTGGTGTATTTAATTATGGCAAAGCACACTAGGGCTATCTGCCTGAGGGAAGGGATGCCTTCGTGGAGGACTTTTTAAGGGAAACTGGCTCTTATACACGTTACACATGGGGAAAACCACGAAAACACCCATGCAGCCAGCCCGTTCGCGGTATTCGAACCTCGGACCGAACTACCAATGTTCAGCGACTTTACCGCTCGGCCGCTGGTGGGCTAAAAAGGTTGAGAATCGCTGATGTAGAGTATTCGTACAAGTAATAAATGACATCACCCAAAAACTTGCTCATTTTTAACATCTAACCTTATGTAGTTAAAAACATGAAGCGAACATTTTTACATTTTTATAACATTTATTTTTCATATCGCGAGTTCTCATTAAACACACAGTACTAGAAAAGGATGAAACTGTATAATTGTAGAGATAAAAATGATACGTATTGCTGAAGACAGGAACAGAGCAAAGCGTAAACCTCAGATATTTCAGTTAGAGATTCATTTCATATGGTTTTTGGTTTGTTTTATTAGATTACGGCAAAGCACTCGAGGGCTATCTGCCTTAAGGGAGGGATGCTTTCGTGGAGGACGTTTTAAGGGAAACTGGCTCGTATACACGTTACACATGGGGAAAACCACGAAAACACCCATGCAGCCAGCCCGTTCGCGGGATTCGAACCTCGGACCGAACTACCAGTGTTCAGCGACGTTACCGCTCGGCCGCTGGTGTGCCTTCATTTCATATGAAATGAATATATATGAAGTGAATATATATGAAATGAATCTCTTACTGAAACCTAATTTTAATGCGTTAGTATGTTTATATGCACATAAACATAAAAATGCAACTAAAATATTGAAGCCTCAAACCAAGCGAAACCTCAAACTAAGCTATTCTTCAGAAGGAAAGAGAGGATTTTCCTAACTTCCTCCGTTATTGTACTTAGCTGTCGTATGTTTTCGAGATTTAAAGGATATCCATGCTTGAATCACGTTTCTTATATTAAGCTCAAGATAAAAATATCGACGTCTAGTGTGAAAAGCTTCCATTTCTATTTATGACCGTTGGCTTCAAGATGACGCATGAAAGGGGCGAAATCCCGTCTTTCTCTCAGGAAAACATCTCATCGACAATTCCGTCGTGATAAAAGGAAAAGCCGAATCTCTTTTTCGTGTCTTCTTAATCATAGGATTTATTTCCTTGGACAACTTCTTTATGCAGAGTTGCCATTATATTTGACAATGGATGAGGATGTTTACGCTAACGTCTACTTACAGGTACTCTATGTATTTCAAAACTTTGATCTTATGAGCTATTGAATAAAAGAGCCTTGCGCTGTTACTTTTTAATTTTGATTATGCTTCATCCTACCAGAAATTTCTGGATTCAAAGAAAAACATATTACACATGAATAAGATATGAAATATTTAAAACTGCTAAACAGAATTCTGCTAAATTAACTAAGTCCACATTAACTCTTATGCAGTCCGTTAACTGCAATTTTTGTTAAAGTAAAATTTCTAAGTAGAAATTCATAAAATGTTATTGTGAATTCTTTTTATGCGCATGAAATTATATTTCTCTTGATGTTAGTTATGTAAGGATAAAGCAAAGTTAAGTAGGATCGAATTAATTAGATCATTCTTCTGTTCTAATTCCTAGATAACTGCTCCCTTTCTTTTCAAATTTGTTTGCAGCGCAACTAATATGTAATTTTGTAAATGGTTTACTTCTTTTTTTCTGTACAATTTAAAACCTTTCGTGTTTTATTTCTTATTTTATCTTAATTGAACCTACCCCTCTTTGAAACAACACGCCAGCAATGAAGTTCAGTATTTCTTCTATCATTTGCGTATTTTACTCTTAAATGATTACTAACGAGGTGGAAAAGCATCAGATGCAGTTTCTTTTTATCATCTGCATACGTTAAATTAAAAAATTTACAATTAAGGCTGCTCTGATTGGGATAGTGGTTAAATAAGCTTTTTATTTAAGTCTTAGATGAACAGAAAGACACAGTTTCTGCGATAGACGCCCCTTAGCTACTTCACGATATTTAATTCAACATATTGGAAAGTTCAATTGAAATGTAGGTAACGTAGTCTGAGACTATTTTATAGTTGTGTATTTACAAGCAGACACGAAGCAGACTACTTAAGCTGGTCGAAGATAATTAACGGCGCGTATTTGAACTTCGGCTAGCAAAATTCTAAAGCCAGAATAAAACTAGGAAAGGTTGGCGATAATACGTAACAGCAAGATGAGACTGCCACGTGCCCTAATCTAAATAATCAAAATCCTCAGCTTCAATACACAAATAACTATTTTGTGTTCTGGTGAGGAAAGGAGAAGCTATAGCAAAGATTTGAATTATAATAATCAACCAGAATTTGAACAAATCGCAAATAAAGGTCTTAATGACCTTGGATGAAATTTTAGAATTCTAAAACCTTAAAACACGAGCCAGCCCTTACAAACTATCAATTAAATTCAGGATGTTAAATTTACATTCTACAAAATTTCATCTTAATTTTACATTCTTTTAAGCTTCATCACCGTCTCACATCTCGTATCTACTTCCAGGAATCTGGAAGAAAAATAGTTTAGCAGAGAAATAATTAAACTGCGCAACATTCAGGTACAAGAGTAATTTTCATTAATCCCATTTTCTCTCTAAGCTCTTTTTTTTACTCTCCAGTTTTATGCTGTGTAAGGCAGTGTATAAAATTGCAATATTTTCAACAACTGCCTGCTAAATCACTGTAGAAGTGCCCAAGGGTTCCTGTCTTGTGGACATTCTCTATCTGTTTTACATAATCGATTTTTCAGAGATAAACTGGATCATAACTCTATGTTAACTTGCTACGCGGAGGATACGCCGGTAGCAGTAAGCTCTATTCAACCCAATAATGCCATCTCCAAACTTCAGGATTTTGTTTTAGAGATTGAGAACTGGTGAAAAAAAAAGCAAAATCAGTGTAAATGGCTCAAAGTCTAAGTTCCTATTGGTAAGGAGGCGAAAGATTCGGAATATAGCACTGAACAACTTCTACTTACTTAGGGAAATGGTGAACTGTGTAAATAACGTAAGTTATTTAGGGGTTATCATTAACCAAAGGCTCACATGAACTTGTCATATTAAGTACGTAATAGGAAAAGCCTGTGGCATCACCAACCAACTTTCTGTATTCCTTGGAGTTGTCTCTGGGTTGTCTTTCAACAAAACGAGAAGGCTACACATCTGCAGCCTGGGCCTCAGCTTCAAAGGCCGACAAACTTCAGATAGTACAGAATAAGGTTCTGAGAAGAATTGTAAATGCATTAGAAATTAGAAGCAAAGTGATCTATGATGACTTGAAAATAGACCCTCTAGTGGACCACATTACTAAATTTAATAAGCGTTTCTTCAAAATTCAAGTTCTGTAATGCTGCAAATTTTTCAGAAGTTCATAGTTACCAAATCATTACAGAAGATAATTTGATCAGACGATTTGCTGCTCACATGCTTACACATCACAGATTTGTAACCTAACTTTGACTGCTAACATTTATCTATTTTTTTGTATTGTATACGCGAATTTATTGCATTGTATACGTGCGGCTTGATTTTTGCCTATCGACGCTATACATTAGATTGGCACAAATGCAGTAAAGGCGACAATGATATTTCCACAATTACCTCTTTTTGTAGACCGTTCTTGGAGTTTCTCCTGCTAACTCATCAAAGTCATGTGCCCTTAGTGGCTAAAGTTTCTTATCTAGCTTATTGAGGTCCCTTCTGGGGTCACATCAGCAACTTCATTATCAGTATCAACAACCTGCTAAACGAATTCAATTCTTACATGCTTGTAAGAATCAGACATCCTAGGCCTCAACGACACCCTATTTCAAAGTAATGTTCTAGACTTAAATTTCATTTAACTTTGTAAGCGTTGACTAGAGACACTAACGTTTAAATAACCTAATTTACTATACACTATACTAGATTTTAATGTTCATTTATAATACACACTATCAAGAACATATTTTCCTTTACAATACATTAGTTTTTAACAATATTCATCATGCCTTAAAGACAGAAACTTCAACATACTACAGTTTAAAAGCTTACTTTACATAATTTTAACTTTGCGTAACAATGGTATTAGTTGCTATTACAAGTATATAAATTGCATTCGAGCCAAAACTCTCTACTCATATTAATCTTTTGGACTAATGTAATATAATCGTGTTTAACATACAAGCATAAAATTCTCAGAAGTAGATGAATATATTAACAAATAAAAAATCTTTCTTTCCTAAAAAACCTTTAATAGGAGCTCCATAATTTAATATAAATTAATTTAAAAATGAATTGACAAGAAATTTCGCAGACTCCCTTCTGAGGAAAGTTACTTTTATCTACTACGAAATATAATCAAAAACCGAGGGCAAGGTTTTTTTTTTAAATAATCTTTATGTGGGTGAAGGTCTAACAGATCAAATCCTATGATTTCATTCGGAAATGTGGCTTTAATGCTATTAATTAATTTCTAAGTGTTACAGGATTCGAAATATGATATTTTTGTCATTGTTTCTGGCGTATCTAAAATTCTGGAAGTCAAACATGCCACATTTCAGTTCTATCCCCTCGTCGGCCCCCCTTGAATGAATGTCCCATAATAAGAGCACAAGTCCCAAACTGATACCAAATTGTTTCGCCGTGTTAGGTGGCAGACAAATTGTGAACTAAAGTTTATGAATCTTGAATTGTATTTCCCACTTAGATACCTTTTAACACAGGTACCGAAGTTCTTCGGCCATGAATTTGCATTTTGTGGCTCTCATTTTTAAAACTACTTCCTTTAAAAAGCGTAAAAACTTTATGAAAATTCTGAGTGTGCTCATAAATTTTGTTGCTTGGAACTATTATATCATCTAAGTATATACCTGTTGATTTACCAGGCCTGCTTTCATACATATCTGGAAATAGCAGACTTGAGATCTAACATGGTCACATAACTTGTAGATTTAATTTTCCTAAAATCTCATAAGTTGCAGGCAAGGGATAAACCGGTACTGATATTTTGCAATACTGTTTACTTTTCCATAATTGATAGCGAATCGCTAGGCTTAAAATCGGTGGGAACGAGATTATTCTTTTTCTGCGTAGCACTGTATGGCTATCGCTATAATCTTCACTGTATACATGTAAAGATTATAATGTTGTTTTTCAGCATGTCCGCGATATGCCTTTCTATAATACCTTTATCATAGAGGTAGTGTTTTGTTCTACATGGAGGTTACATCCTGTTTCAATCTAGTGGTTCACTACATGTATTAACCCTGGGTTGCCATCAAATAAATCTGAAAAATTTCTTACCAACTGCTACAACGTTTTCCCCCGGAGGTAGTTCTTTCAGGTCTAAGTCTGGTGGCTGTACCTCTTTCTTAGTCATTTTGCTCATACGCAGCTGTATGGTAGCCTCCAGCTTGCTGCAGATACCAATTTACTTAACATGGCTGCTGTTGTATCCTGATTTACAAAAAAATAAAAAGTTAAAATATAGTGTTTATATTTTACAGGGAAATATATATAAACTGTGCATTATTCTGTTCTAGGGTCCCATCTTTTACAAAGCTACCAGAGCAGCTATGTGCATGTTCGACATTGCATCAAAGCAGTCTTTTCTTGACCTACAGGCATGGGTTGTAAGTAAGTGGACTTTCATATTAAATTTTAATAAAAAAAAACAATCACATGTTACAAACGCAATCTTTTAAATACATTATTTTCATGTTTAAAATAAATGCTGATAAGCAAATAAAATGTTTCAAGAGAAAATATTTTAATAATTGGCTGTTTTTTTAATTATAATAAAATACAAGTCAGAAAACAAATCTGTCTAGAGAAGGATAGCCATCCTGAAAGAGTTTGCAAGAGAATTTAAATCATATTTAAATTACGTATGAGGTGAGCCAAAGAGACTTTGGAAACAGCTTAGCTAGTTGGAAATTTACCTAACTTTCCAAGCTGTGAAATAAAAACAAATCCCTTTAAATGAATAATTGTTCTTATACATAAGCTTAAAATAAGATAACGTTTTTTTTTTCAAATATCAGTTATATTTAAAAAAAAAAAAGTTAACAGCAACTTCTGAATTTTTAACAGCGTTGACAGAGTAAAAGCAACATGGTTTTTTAAATGCTTTTTTTCAGTGGTACAGTAATATTTACATAAAAACTGTGGAAACGTGTTTCAGAGGAGTCGTTAAAGCCAGTATGTACAGAACTACCAACTTTGAGCAAAGACTACAGAAATAGTCATTTCCTCAGAAAATTTGAATGTTTAAGGCACTGTTTATCATTTTTAAAAAGAACTACCAAATATTTGAGTATGATTATGCTGTTTTGTACACTAATATACAAAACTAAGCACGGATTAGTTTTTCCCAAATAACTCCAAAAGAATTACGCTGGAGACATAAAAATCAGAACACAGAAGCAGAGTTTTGTATTTAAAGGATGAAGAAACATCAGCGCAAAAATGAATAGAACGTATAAAGTATAAAACCAAACAGAAAGAAAAGCTTTTGGGGAAAACAGCGTGGATACAAATGATTGTCTGCCCGACAGAAAGAACATCAGATTGATGTCTCTTAATAAGAGCTATTAAAAGTAATTATCACCTTCTCCTGTGCCTGGTGTCATGATATGACTGGTAGCACGTCGAGCTTGAACAGGAAGATCCTTGATTTGAATGTCAGCAAGGATATAGTTGATTTTTCAAGGTCTCTCTGAAAAAAAAAAAAGAGTTCGCTTTACTATAAGATTTTTATTAACTGCAATGTTAGCATAGTACCATCTCTGCTACTCAATGTCAGATGCGACCACAGTCTTTGGGGTAAGACTGCTTATTATCTGATGAGCATCTATTTCAATTGCTTTTTACTGGGTGTGGTCGAGAGGAACGGCCTCTCTTCAAAGCATCCCACAAATGTTCTACAGGATATAAATCAGAGAATAGAGCTGGCCAATCCATTCGAGTGAATGCTTTTTTTTCCAGCAGCTTATCAACTACTCAGATCTGATGTATTCTGGCATCATCCTTAAAAATGAAGTCAGTACCAACAACATCTCGGAACAGATAACAGATGTACACTGCGAAAAAAAAAAAAAAAAAAAAAAAAAAAAAAGAGAGAAGAGAGAGGGGGGGAGGACAGTTCTTTATCTCCCGTTCTACTGGACCGATTGAAAAAATTCAAATTGTCTTTTTCACGTCTCAAAAGCACGACTTAGGATATATATCATATATCATATATATGATCATATATCATATATCATATATATATATAATTGTTCTATAATAGGTATTTTATCACAAAATCGGACTTTTTCTGAAATAACGTACCAGGTTTTTTTTTCATATTTCGATTCTACGACTCAAATTATGCCTAGATATTAAATTTTGTAAAATTTGGTGCGAAATTTACGGAGAAATTCAAAAATTTATCTTGGTGGAATTTTCAGTTTTCGCCAAGAATAATTCACTTGGCGAACTTCTTAATATGTGGCAATCAATTTTCCTTTCCCTTCCATTATGCCGGAGCGGAAAAAAGTCGCCTCGTTCCCAGGGATAAATAGAAGGGCTAGCTCATTTCTTTGTTCGACTCCTCGCCGACGCGAGCCTAATGGGGGACGTAAGATGCATAATCTGACTCACTGTGATGCCACCTGTCCTGATTTCCCCGCGTTTTTCCTGCGTTTAAAACGTATTTCATGAGCTCGAGACGATTTTCTAGAGGTTACATATCCCAATTAATTTTAATAATATATTATCGTTTCTAGTATGTATATATTTAAATAATTGATATATTGTATTTTAGTCATTTTTTTTTAAATTCTATATTGTAAGTATCGTTTACGTAATATGGCTTTTTGCGCTGCAGTAACGTGCGTAGCACTTACAGAATATGAAAGGATGAGATATTTTTATTCTGGGACGAAAGGATCCAATAGAGTTTCTTTTGACGAAAGAATGGGATACACCAAATGTCAAAGAGAAGATTCTATTAATGTGAAGAGCGGAAAATCTGCAGCGAACATTTTCTATGCAGTTTTATGAAGATATGAAAAATCGCTTGTTTGGATAGCCACAAAAGAACTTTGAAAATGGAAATGCTTGCCCGAAATAAATTAGATGACAATAATAATCGAAATTGAATGATGACATAATAATCAAATTTTAATGATTTTTGAAATAAACCACAAATGAAATGTAGATCATCCTGAATGTTTTAGGGATACAAGGATGCATTGGATAATTTGAAGAACAAAATAATATCCTTAGAAAATTGTATTAAATTGTATTAAAGTATTGAAAATAGAGAAAAGAAAATTAGAAGGTTTGTTCAGCGACAAAGAGGTGGACGGCATCTAGACAGAAATGGTATCAGAAATTAAAATCTCAAATAGCGAAATTTGGGGGAGGGAGCACAAATCGGAGAATTTGGAAAAATGTCTAAAGCCATTTTTATAAAGACGCAGATTAATGCATTATGAAAAGAGAAAAAATCAGGTGGACTAATAAAATATTTCACGTTGCATCGTCATAAGAGCTCGTCATCTTAAGATATGAGTTTTGGAAAGAAAAAAAACTTAGAAAAAATTTGGAATATCTTTACCTAGTATTATCAAATTAAAGAATGGGTGTTTATTTTATTTTTTAGTGTTTTTTAATTTTAGTGTGGTCCAAGAGTTCAAAGTAAGTTTCTATTCTAAAGAAGGAAAGAGGCGAATATTGTATTCTGTAAAAAAATTGCGTTCTCAGTTTCGACGAAATGCACATAGATTAAAACTCTGCTATGACGCTAAACTGGACTAAGTTGGTTCTTTTCAAAATGTGCAGTTTGTTTAATCAGATGTCTCATTTCGCGCTCTGCCTCAATTACTGAAAAACCGCGTTTAGATAGAGGATTTGTTTAGAAGATGTAACTGTTTAAATTTTGATATTATTCAGGTTTTTAAATAGAGATTGAAAGAAATCAAATTGTGTCCAAACTAAAACCAAATTATTTAATGGTCAAGGGAAGCGAGAGACAAAAGTCGCTCCAGAGAAAGCATTATTTTCAAAGTACCGCAAAAGGTATACTATAAACCCCACAGAAAATCAAAAAAACATCTGACTTCTATGAGTTAATCGATAATATTTTCGGTATTAGAATAGTAACCAAATAATACAACAATATAACAATTATTTAACAAACTAATTTTGTTAAGTACTTTTTCTTATGTATCCTTTGTAACTAATTATTGATTAGATTTTGTGCTAGTTAGCATTCTAGATAAAATAATAGTGTAAAACATCAATATTGGCATAAAAAGACCTGCTTCCTTTACTCACACTTTTGAAAAATTAAATACTGTTTTAGGTACTCTGAATAAAGCTATTTCGTCAAATTAAGTAACAATCTTATATACATTTTATTAATTGTAATATAGATATAAGTATAAATTTCAAATTATTTAAAAAATATCTATTATATTGAATCGGAAGAGAATTATAACAATGTAAATTTACAATTAGGCAAAAAATCAACGTAGGTTAGCAGAAATGTTGCCATATATTCATATATGTTTAAACCTATGTCAATGTAAGTCATTTTTTAGTAAATTTAAATAGGCTACTATTATAGTTTCTAGAAGCAGTATAAAATTCTCTCAGTTAGCATGCAATAAAGAATGATTATAATAAACGTGCTGAGTAAAAAACCCGCAAATAATAAAAAAAAATAATAAAATAAAAAAATAATAATAATAATAAAAAAAAAAACACGACTTTATGTTAAAAGAGTACACATTTATCTATTTTTTAAAATTGAGTAAGCATTTAAATCTTATGTTCAGTCTAAAATGCATAAAGCAGTAACATGCCTCTCCAAATTATAGCTACTTCACGCACAGTTCATTTTAAAATGCTGGTTCAAAAACGCAATTTCCAAGCTGTGAATTATATTGGCGCGCTCAGTGTCATCATGGCTACGTCATCACTTCTCACTTTCTGCTTCAGGGGGAAAAGCTCTATGAGCTAGCCCTTCTCTTCTGAGTCCTGCTCGTTCCTACCTTTTTACATTGTGCGTGAGCGGGAAAAAAGACACTTCGTTTCTACTTTCAAATAATTTTAGCAAAGTGTCTAAACCACGTCTGATGTTTTATCGCATTCGGCAAATATGCCAAATTTCAAAACGCGCCAATATATAAATTCACGTATTCTTTCCGAAATTTTGAATAAAAAACTGTAATTTTTTGAAGGTGTGCTTAGAAATAAGTCTATTTTAAGATGATGGTAAAAATTTTATAGATTATAATTGAAAAATATTTATGAACAATTTATAAAAATTGTTTAAAAATACAAATTTAAAAAATAAACCATAAAAACTGGGTGAATTTTATTTGGAATGAACCTGAATTTCGAAATGTGAAAGGAAGAATCAAATAAGTTTAATAAAAAAAGAGAGATTAATAAATATATACCAAACTCAATTAACACTGAAGAGCTAAAATTTTGAGAGCTAATGTTTTGAAAACTACTCGTGCGATTTTTGCAAAACTTGGTAGTTTGTCGCAATTTGAGTCGTAAAATCGAAATATGGAAAAAAATGGTATGCTATTTCAGAAAAAGTCCGATTTTGTGTCAAAATACCTGTATTAGAGCAATGCTACATATAAATCTAATACATATCCTAAGTCGCGCTTTCGAGACAGAAAAAACGCAAGTTGAATTTCGTCAATCGGCCTAGTAGAACGGGAGATAATAGAGCTGTCCTTTTTTTTTTTTCGCAGTGTACGTTGGAAAGGATCACTTCTTGATAATAGGGATTTACATTTAAAGCTTATTCATTGAAAATTTCGAGGTCAGTGCTGTTATTTTGCGTAACTCCTCTCCAGAACAGCTCTCCAGGACCTATGTAACGGTTTCTTTATTTGATACTATTGAGATGAAACTGAGTCTCCACCTCTCTCTATATCAGCTGGTGATCAGAATCATTCTAAACACGGACATCTATAAAGAGAACGTGACCTGCACTGATGATGCGTGCAATCTTTGGGTTCTTTATACTAATCTGTGCCGAAGGACTGAACGGTCGTCAGTGAGATGTAACGTTCAGGACGAAGGGCGAATAGGCCTCACAGTAAACCATAGCACTTGACGTCCTGCTGGCCGTGCGTAGTAGCTGATGATTGTTGTATCTTTTCTGATGGACTGATGTGTTAGTCTCTTTTCGCCTGCAGAATAATATACAGGTCACTCACTGATGTTGTTTTTCATTGCCGTCCACTACCAGTCTTTCTCACAGCTATAACGGCATTTTCGAAGGCTGTTCAGGTACATGAAAAGACATCACAGTCAGCATCAAATTCTTGGGCTACACTCATCATGTTCCCCCTCCTCAAGCTTGCTAATCATTCTTGCATATGTTAAGTAGCTCAGGTGGTTTCTTTTAGCCATGTTACATGCACAACTTATTTGTATTTGGCAATGAACGTCTATAACCCCGTTTACTGTCCCTTTGCATACCGTTAAGGCCCGTCTACACGAGTACGCTCGAAACGTAGCTGACGAACGCGCTTTTACTTTACCAGCGTAAAAGCGTCCAAACGAGTACGCTTGCGAAGAGTGCGTTTTAACCAATAAATATTTTGCGCAAAATCACGTGACGCTGTAATATAGCGTCAACAAGCTGTATCTCATTACTTTCGCGTGCTTCGTATGTTTGCGGCAAGTTGTCCGATCAATGATTTTTTTTAATAGCGAAATTTTACTATTAAGTGCAATTATTAAGCAGAGCAAAACCGCAAAAAAGGCAAATGGGTCCGAAAGATTTATTTGTTCAAAGAGATTTTAGATTTTTTTTTTTTACTGCCTCGTTTACGAAGGAATATCCGAAATTAAATTCCTACTATTATCTCACACTCTCCCTATCTTGTTCAATTTTCAGTACATAAAATGCTTTTTATTCATCAAGTCAAATACAATTTTTTAAACTTGTAATGAATGACCTTGATGTTAATACAGCTTTTCACATATCAAATTTTTAAAATTTTTATTTTAAAAATTCTGTTTGTATTTTTATTTATTTATTTATTATGTATTTTTTTTTTTTTTCTTTGTGGACCTAAGTAGGATTGACTTATTTTTTTTTTAATATTCTTTTTTTTTAATTACTTCAGGATGAGTATCTACCAGTTTGACAGACTTGCAGATTCTATATTTGTAGGAAAATTAGGATTTATAAATTGGTTTGGAATACAGTATATAAAGAGAATTAAATTACTTATTCTCTTTATATACACCATCCACCATATAATAAACCAACTTCATATTTTTAACTCCCCCTCCCTTGGCCTTTTGTTTTTCTTTTTATTTATTTTTGAATTTAGAATGAGGTTCAACTTGTACAGTTTATGAGAAATTATGTCATGGTAAATATGCAATAAGTAAAATAAGAGAATTTATAGATGATATATGATAAAGAGATGCAGAATATTAATTAGATAAAGATTTCTATTTGCAATGTACATTTTTAACTAAATTAAAACAATAATAATAACGAATAAAATAAGAAAACAATAATAATAGGTAAATAAATATATGTTCATGATTAATATGAGACACGTTTTCAAAAGAGAAAACTACTGACTTTATGTATTATACGTGTGAGGTTCGAACTCGCAACCTTTCGCTCCCAAAGCAGCGTGCTGACCACTCACTTGTCAACAAAATGTACAAGTAGAAGTCACTGCAAAGTAATTTAATTAAATTTCAAAATGATTGCTGTATGACCAAGTTGTAACTTTCCTCCAAAATTTCGTAATGTATTTTATTGAATCTCTTTTCACAGTCAACTGCTTTATTTAGAAGATGTTATATTGCTGAATGTTAGTTTTTTGGTGTATTTAATATTGGGATATTTATAGAGCTTTTTTATTCACATGATATAGCCCTATTTATAATAATTAAGGATAATTTTGTAAGGCAGAAACTTTGATTTCGTAGAAACTGTAATTTATTTAGGTTCCTATTACTTACGGTGTTATAAATAGGTGAAGCAATACTGGTCGGATCATTGCTTTATAATATACAGTTTTTTCCCTTTAATGAGAATTTAAATTTATACCAATATATACGGTTTGAGAAATCTGAAGAAGGAGTGATTATTTTATTGCTGTATACACTTATGATATTTCTAAGCAAAAACTCTTCTCTGTGTGGTTCTGACGCCATATTGAAACGGGTAAGCAAGAAGGTTTTCTAATTATGACACGTGATAAGACTCGGTCGGCTATTGGCGAACGCGGCGTGCGCGAAAAGCTGAACAGGAGCGTACTCAGTTTTACGTCTTCTGCGTCATGCGAATTTACGCCGGCGTCAAAAAAGTTGCGTCAACTACGTCGGGAGCGTCCTCGTGTGGACGGGCCTTTATGCGTTTCGCGCACCCGTTGCGGACATTTTACATATTATTGACTGTATTGTGATGTATCGTTTTTACTATATGCATGCAAAGTACCTTTATACAAAGCTCGCTGTTCAGCTTATAGCTACAAGCTTCTATCTCAAGTTTTATTGCTGTGTCCTTCAAAATTACGTTCGTCCGTAAGTTTGCACGCTAATGTATTCTCTGTAAAGAGCATTGTACCAGTGCTTTTCAAATAAGTTATAAGGTATTTCTTCCGCCTTTTTAGCATGCCTTCGTGGTGTAGTGGTCAGCACACTCGGCGCGTATCCGAGTCCCGGCGAGGGCGTTGCTCATTTTTCACATCTACTGCTTCTAAATAACCTAATGTCTCTACAGTGGAGCCCGAACTGAAAGGTGGATGATGATTCTCCATCACTAGGATTTGGCGAATGGGTCCCCTAATCACCAGTCGCCCTTTAAAAGGGGAAGTATATAAGGTATTTCTCCCGCCTTCTTAGCATGCTTTCGTGGTGCAGTGGTCAGCACACTCGGCGCGTATTCAAGAGGTCCGTGGTTCGAGTCCCGGAGAGGGCATTGCTCATTTTCACATCTCTTGCTTCTAAATAACCTACTGTCTCTACAAAGTAAGAGTTAAAAAACGCAGCATTAACCAAACTTTTGGTAAAATAACAAAATTATTGTACTCAATTTCACCTTTTAAACTACGTAAAATATTCGTAAAAGGAGATTTTCTTCCAATTTTAAACATCAGAGTCTTAAGTATTTAGGTTAAAATTTCGTCAGAGTCTTAATTACATTCTAATTTTTTGCCAAAAGGGCTGTTAAATGAAAGAAGTGAAAAATGAAATTCGTTTATACACGTATACATTGTTTAAAGCGATCCCTTTCCTTTCCTTATCATATAATAAAAAAATTTTTATTCATCCTCTACATTTAACTCATAGTGAGCATTTTCGATCACGTGATGCAACTGAAAATATACAGTTATTGACTTATTTATTGGTAGATCACATCAAATTTCTGTCTATTGACTATTTATTGTTGGTATACGATCATTTATTGTTTCATAAAACAAAAGATAAAGCCAGCATCTGCCATAATTTATTTCACGTCGGCGGGCGGAGGCATGTAGAAAGCAAAAAGAACAATTCAAAACACGCTTTAAAATATGCTTCTTTTTACTATAGGAGTTATCACAAAAGGTAAAAACTGCCACATTATTTTTGATGAAAATTTTACTCACAGGTGTGCTATGAATAGTCTTCGAACTTAAAATGCAATACAGTAATTTTAATACAGCAATGCAGTACCAGTGCAGTAATTCGTAAATAGTTAAGCTCTGTAAATTAAAGATTCGTAAAAACGTTAGTACACTGTATTAGAACCCGATCTCTGTTAGTGAATGATAGGTTGTTAATAGTCTGCAGTACCAAGTCACTTACCAAGTCAAAGTTTACTAACTTTGTTAACTTAAAGTTTGTTCTAAACAGGTCCGAAACGAAAGTTTGATTTTATACTTTTTGTTTTGATAACTTGTTAGCCTTTTTGGTTTGTTTTATCTGTCACTACTAGCTTTAGATGCATGTAAATGAAGAGCAAAAATCAGAAGAATTTAAATGAAGGGCGAGTATGATTGATTAACTTAAATACGATCTCTGCCAGAGATAAGTATCTCTTTGAGCGGTTGAGCTACACGTGTAAGATGTGTGATGCTGAGATCCTGTCTTTTGAAAGGAATAAGAATTATCGTGGAATAAAGCATATACTTGCAATAAATTCGATTTGAGCGCAAATTTTTTTCCAATGTCGAATAGTTAGTGAAAGAACCAAATGGGTTTTTTTCCAACGAGATGCTAGTAAAGTTTCTGTCGTGCAACTGCACGCTTTTATGAAGTTCTCTTGGTGCTGACAGATTGCAGCTTGCAATACATTTCTGTGTATTATTTGAAGTTCATTAAAACTCGCTTGATTGAAAGAGGTAGTTTTTTTAAATTAATGTAAGTTTTTTGTTTTAATTTATATTAATTTAATAAGTCTTAATTCCTTAAAAGCTGGTTAACATTTAGAGCTTGAAGCCAGACTTTTAATAACTGAAGCAATTCGTTTTCAAACATTCATTCTAAAAGTCGGCTAATAAATACAAAGTTTTCTCTATTGTATTACAATGTCTTTTCTTAGATGTATTTTTTCTGTAATATGAAATATTCTGTAGGTGTCCAGCAAAATGCCAATGATGAGTGCATATTTGTGTTACTGGGCAATAAGAAAGACTTAGCAGATGACAGAGCTGTTACGGAAAAAGAAGCACTGAAATATGCTGAATCCATCGGAGCAACTTATTTTGAAATTTGCGCCACAACTGGTGAAGGTAAGTGGGCTTTCTCTTCTTTCTTATTCCAGTGCGAATTTATAAGAACACATTTCATGCTAATTATTGATGCAGAGTTATATCACTATACCTATAATGTTTAGGGCTAAATATTTCGAGGCTTCTGAAACCCATTTGGTAAACGTTATTCTTCATCGTGTGACAAGAACTGCTGCTGAACCTTCTCTGATGCTGTGCAAAGTTGTTGGTACGACACACTGTAAGCACTTCTGACACAAATGAAACGCAACCTGACGATGAAAAATGTAACTGTTCTCGAAACAAAAGTTTTAGCTGTTAAAAAATGTTCCATGTTTTTCTATGTATTTCTTTGAAAACCACGCATATATATCAAGCACCATATTATCAGCCATTGTAATCCTTCATACTGCTTTAGATGTTTCGGAATATTGGATCTGAGGGGTATTTGGCTGAAATTATGAAACGATGAAATCACGAATCTAATAAAAGCAGTTTTGCATTATTTAGAGTCTTATGAACTGCTTCGAAATTGGACTATTTTTTAATATTTGTATGCATTGACGTATCTTTATTCATTATTTCAATTTTATTTCAGAGCTGTGCAAATACGAGATCATAAAGCATTTATCCAAAGAAGTGTCAAAAGGAAAATAAAAATGTTAAAGTGCTTTGTGTTTTTTTTTTTTTTAAATAAAACGTGGATGAAAGTATTTTATGGAATTAGTAAAAATAAAAAGAAATGTTCTCGAACAATATAGTTCAGAAGGAATCATTAGAGCAAAAGCCAGCTCTTACGAAATTTATCTCTGTTTTATTGAATCTGTCACTAAGCTGATATTTGTACTCAGCCATCGTGTTACTTAACGGAGTACCTTTAAGTATTGCGACACCATTCTCGTAGCAACTATTTAACATATTTTATCTGTTGCTAAGAGAAAGAGTTAAATCGCCATCTACAGAAAAATATTTTTACTGTTCTATTAAAAAAATGACCTAAGCGATAGCCATGAACTTCAACTCGTCTTATCTACATTGCTCGACAGGTGACGCATTATGGTTTCATAACAAGACTCTAATAGATTTTTGCCCAGAAACACAGATTGCTTAAACTTTACATAGGGAAAACTTCACGGAATTTGCTCCTCCATAAATGTTAATTGTCATAAGTCATAAATATTGCTTTTTAAATGTCAAGTATAGCCGATACGCTTACTTTTACAGCATCACTTATTTAAAAAGACACTTTGCAGAAGATGGGCAAAATAAAACAGCTCATGTTAACTGCAACATTAACGATTTCATGGTTAAATTGTAACAAAATCTGATTCGGTAAGCCCATAGCTTGTGCTTTTAATTTAAATTCACGCCTTTTGAAACGGCAATATGAGTATAATTTAGCATTATTTTAACATCTTGACTAGAAACATTAACTATGACGTGTCTGATTATGCTCAGATACTGGTTAAAATTTTCTAAGCGAATTTCTAAATTCATGTTAGAAATGTGGAATGAAGTGATATTTTTGAATGCTAGTATGTAACTTCTGTGACAATTAATGTAATTCCTGGTAATACTTTTGAGGATGTCTTGATAAATTAAACTAAATTATTGAATTAATAAAATACTTTATTTAAATATTAAATATTTTGATTGAAATCGCAGATATATTAGAGTCATTTAAATAGAATAAATATTTAACGTTTATTACAATTCAATATTTTATATTGCCTTTCTAAACAATATGCTAAATATAAGTTAGACTATTTTAGTTTAAAATATTTATAGATAGTTAAATAAGTTACAAATCTTTGAATGAAAAATAAAAATAGGCCTAATTCCAAAATTTTAAGTCCATTAATTAAAGTCTATTAATTAGCAAACAACTATCTTAATGTAAATTAAATATCCAAAAGTTTTCAATTGTTTTTTTAAAAGTAAAATAAAGTTAATATAAGGTATCTTTTTCAGACACGATTAGTGAATAATTCTTACAAATCCTATGTAATGATAAACACGCGTAACTTCAAAAAGATGAGCTTCTTGAACAAGAATGCGCTCTTCCGTACTTAGTTATTCTATTATTTTTAATATATAAGAGATAAAAATAAAGAGATTACATTGCTGCGATGGGGATAGCGTATGGGGAAATTAGGAGAAAACGACAAGCACGCAGTTTATTTCGGATTCTTTCCTTTTTAATCAGCGATTTACAACCTTAGAATATACCGCCAAGTAATTCACATAACTTCCACTAACAAAATGAGCTATTCTGCACAACCTTGAATTGCAATAAAGATAAAAACTAAGAATTTCGTTTTATTGAGGGAAAGAAAATCTTCAAAAGTAAAATATATTGTCAAGTGCCATAATGGCTTTCGTTAAACGACATCTATAATAATCTATAGGTGAATCTGTTTTTAAGCGTATAGGTAGATACATTTTTAAGTACGCATTAATACAATAGCTGTGTACCATTTCATAAAATTTATGAATTTTGATCTAATGTCAGCATTATAAAGTCTGATTTTTATGAAGATTTTATGCCGATCATTGTTTTTACTTTTACCTTTCTTGTCATGAAAACGTGAATTTTTTTTATAAATGAAAATAGCTAAGTTATTAGCAATGACAAAAAACATGATCTGTCATTGTTGTATGATGAAGGGCAAATAAGGAAAACGGTGAAACCTTAATACAGCTGCAGTTCCATTAACTCACATTAATTTATTTTAACAAATACATTAGTTTTTATGTTTAGTCTATTAGTTTCTTTATGCTTGTTATTTAACTTCTTCCCCCGCTTTTCTATGTTGTCTATTTCAATAAAAATTATTGACGATGTGAGTTTAAATAATGAGCGATAGTCTAAATATAGAGAGTGAATTTGTAACATTACCTGTCATGCTGAATCTCCTATGCTGCTGCCTGTTATTAGTGCAGTGTTACGAGCAGTCTGATTAGAATTACGTTAACATTCCCAGAGTAGTGGAGCCAGGTTATTAGCTCAAAATGCGTTAGCCCTGAAGGGCTTTTAATTTCAAACGGCACTTTGCGTCGATTCACATTTCAAACTGTTGCCAATAAATATTATCGCCATGTATTATATTTAAAGAAACTAAATAATGAAGAAATCTGCATGAATGTTTCTCGTTTTGTGAAGAAACAACGGCCCTTAGAGCCAGCCAATTTTGAATAACGTTGTCCTTCAACCGAACATGGGCACTTGGAAGCCCGAATTCGTTTTATTATCTGTTTGTAAAACTTTAACGAATTTTTGATTCAACAAACTCAACGATTTCAAAGCGAGCAATGGCAACACTGTACCAAAAAAAAAAAAAAAAAAAAAAAAAAAAAAAAAAAATCCTTTTGGCCTCCAGCGCGAGGAACTGTGTATAGAAAATTCTAAAGATATGCTGTTTTTAAACATTTTGTGATATTGCTGTTGAATTTTATGTGTTTAAAGTGCGAAGAACATGATATTTAATAAATAAAGGTAACACACAAAACGTTAAAAAATGCCTTTGTGGGCTTAATATAAAATCTTAAAGATTTCAGATTTTCTTAGGCTTTAAATTTAATTTTTTAGCTGTAAATAATTTCAATCTTTGGTGTCTATCCAATCTGAAAGAATCAGAAGTTCATTTTTTGAATGATTTAGTTTCCTATAGCCTCGAGGTAAAGTGAAAACAAATGTTTAGTTTTATTTCACTCTGTTGTTATTCCTTTAGTATTCTTAGATTGAAAACACAAAGACTGAGAGTTATTCATTGGACAGTCTAAAAAGATCAGACTAATATTTAGATTCAGTGAGACAGAGTTTAACCTTACATGTTCTCTATCTGTCATAAGTAAAACACCATTATGTATTCCACCTAAATTACTTTATTTAGCTGCATTCATTCTGAGCAAAATGAATGAATCACTATGAGAATTAACCGAGTTTTTGCCAGGATTAGGTTCTCAAATATTATAACGCTGCTAAAAAATGAAAATTAGTTAGTTTCCAATAAAATTAGTAAATTTAGAAATGCTTTAAATTTTACTCTAGAGAATTAAATCTTTATTATAAAGGACGCTGTATATCTGTTTCTTTCTTCCTTTTTTTCTCTCTTTCTCCTTTGATCTTTAAAATTTCACAGAAAGTTATACGAAATTTAACGTAACCTAATAATGTCTTAATATTAAAACTAGCAAAAGAATTCTGAATTATATACTGAAAATTAAAACTAGCAAAAGAATTCTGAATTATATACTGAAAATTTAAAAAAAAAAAATATTACAGTGAGTTTAATCAAAAACAAAAAAGTGAATATTTCATAAGATACAACAATTTAAGGGTAAGTTTAATACTAGGACTTGAAACTAAGTAAGGATTTGGTTTATTTGATTACTGCAAAGCACACGAGGACCATTTGCCCAAGAGAAAGGATAGCTTAGTGGAAGACATTTATAAGGGGAACTGGGAGGGAAGCTGGCTCGTATCCATTTTACACATGGGAAAAATCACAAAATCTCCTATACAGCCAGCCCATCCACCTGGAATCGAAACCAGCTGGAACTACCAGTGTTCATCGAATTTTGGCTATACTAATTATATATCTTTAATCCGAATAAATTCTTATCTGAACAAATTAAAATAAAAAAAATCCTAGATAACTCGGAGTCCGTAATTAAAATTTGTTCAGATACTTGAAATCAAAGAAATCCGAGTTATCTAGGAGTTCTTTAATTTAAATTATCTGAACAAATTGAAATCAAAGAAATCCTAGATAACGCGGAGTCCATAATTAAAATAAATATTACGTTATTTTCTCACAGCGGAAAGCAAGCTACTAAATGGCACTAAACTAAAACACTTAGTCCCATCTAAAAATGGTGCCAACTAAAATAACCAAAGTTTGAAAGGTAATCTAAGAAATATGCAGGATGTACTCTTTTATTCAAATTATTTGATGCGTAACTAGTATTCGCCGACAGCTTTTTGGTATCCAATTTTATTCTCGCGATTTATTTTTCTC